AAATTGAATAAAGAGAGGTGCAAAGCATTACCCTTAGGAATGAGAAATCAGAATCCCAGATGCAAGCTGGACCAGACAGTCACACTGCTGAAGACAGCGACACACCAGTTCATTTCATCAGGGAATCAAAAGGCAGGTGGGGTGTTACAGTGCTGATTCTGCACCTCTCTGGTCTGGGACTGCACTCTGGGGAGTTTGCCTGCAGAAAAAGGGGGATGAAATGAAGAGGTTCTGGAGATGATGAACAGGATTGAGGGGAAGGACATTACCTCGTTCCCAGCCTAGTCAGTTCCCAGGTTCACAACTCTCCTCCAAATTAGCACAAGTGCAGAGTCACATTGATGCCATGACACTGTTTTCAATTACAAAACTACCTCTCCCTGCTCCTTGGTTTACCCTCTTCCCCATTTCTTGAAGAGCACAGCTCTGCAGCCTTGAGTATCAGCCACAGGAGCATCTAAGTATGCCAGGCTGTTCAGAGAACCTGCCATACTCAGCGGGAGCTGACCTGGGCACAATGGTGAGGGATGCCAGATACTATGTACCCCTTTCCAAGCCTGTATTTCCAGGAGCAGATCCTTCTGGCTCTCTTTTCCTGATTTATCATCAGCCACTGTCCTGTTCTTAGGTCAAGATAAAAGGAGACTAAGGATGGAGCAAACAGGATAAGATTAAGGCAAAAAGATTAGTGAGGGCTGAGCTGGTGGAGCTTTGGAAACAAAAGTGCAGAAATTTGAGATTGTCACAAAAGATTAAAGAATTCACAGAAAGGGAGGGAAGGGTTTGTGTATGCAATGATGTTAATAGAGAGAAAGCCTAGCAAATAAAGTGTTATCTCCCAGAAAGCTTGGTTTACTTTGGCCTGAGTCACAACTGCTGTGGAGGCAAACATTAAGCTTTGATCACAGCTGCCGTAATCTTCCCCTGACACCCAATAATGAAAGCAACAGAAACAGGCTGAAGCATGGCAGCTGTCTGGCTGAGATGAAATTGCATTTGAAAAGGAAAACAAAAAGGCAAAATTCTGCTGAAGGTGGAAACAAGAGGTGACAGGACAGGGCCTTTTTGAGAAGGCAACTGGCTGGAATGGACTGTGATTTTTTTTTTTCTCGTGTAGATAATATCAGTGTCAGTGCAGGGATGATGAGCCACTCACTGTGAGCAGAAGCCCTGTTTTGGTGGTTTTCTTTACTGGCAAACAGGTGAAACAGTTCCTGCCCTAAAAATTTACCTGTTTTTTTCAGGAAAATGCATGGCAAGTGTTGGAATAAGAGGAAGGTTAATTAGAGGCTGAAAATTCAGGGGAAAACATCACTTGGTGGCAGAGGCTGACCATGTTCAGAAATTCACTGAATGTCATTTTTGGGAAATTGCTGCTCCAAAGTTACTTTATATTGGAGGCTCACAATCCCCTGGGTTAATCTCACAGGATGATGGTACAACAATTGATCCCTGCTTCCCCATCCAGAGACACAAACACAGTTCCCTTGTTACATCTGCCACTGTTCTCCCAGCAGCCCTTCAGGCCCTTGGGCTGAGGACTTTTCTCTTGATCAGTTTTCTTACAAGACCACTGATGCAATGCACCTCTGTCTCATCTAATCCCAAGACAGTCCAGTTTTCAATGATTTTCAGATCAAGGAATTTCATCCAGTGCTGGTCCAGCCAGGTCTCTACATGAGAAAATGGGAATGAGAGCAGCACATCACGAGTGCCCACATTCCATGGGAGTTCCACTTCACCAGCACTACAAACTAGGGATTTTGTGAAGCAGGCAACGATCTGGACTAACAGGTTTTGTGTACAACTCACAGAAATCTTCCATCTGAAGAGGATGGTTTTCACAGAGCATCCACTGAGAACAGATTCTGTGAAGAAGAAGAGGGCAAGGTAAAATGGGGAGGAGTAGAAGAGGTCCAGGACACTCCCAGAATCCATCTGAAACTCTGATACAGACATTTCTCTGTTGAGGACTGCAAAAAGAGAGAAGATCACACCAACCTGCAGTCTTACACACTCACATAGAGGATTTGGCTTATGGAATAATCACTTCTAAATGAACACCTCAAGTTGAATACAGTCCTTCCTAAAGCATTTCCCACTGAATTCTGGCTTTTAAATTGAACATTTCACCTCTGTCAACAAGAAAGATTCTTGAGCGGAGGGATGTTCTTGTTAAGGGATGCACAGAGCTGAATGCAAGAATCCCCATCCTAATTTATCTGAGGCAGACAAGATTTGTTTCAGTGAGAGCATTAAGCATCCTGCAGCTTGATATTAACTGATAGACTCTTGCTTACTCTTGGCACTTCCTCTTGTAAATGAAACACTGTTACTTCCGCTTCCATGCCCACCCCTCCACTTGGTTCCTTCTTAATTTTACAGCTTCCTGAGCTTGACACTGGGAAATCGATAAGTAATTTAGAGCCCAGTAAATACAGATGAAAAGAAGTTATTTTGTACTTTTATAAATATTTGGAAACCAAAACTATCTAAGAAAACAGCTGCTCAATTGACTCAGCAACCCATCCATCAGCATCACACAGTTAATTGCATAAGATCATAAACATTTATAATTAGAAGGCAAACAAACAAGAATTTTATAAACAGCCCTCTTGAATCAGGCTGCGCATTAAATATTTGTGATAAGGTAATTAAGAATAGATTTACAGTCGTGGCTCGGTGTTTAATACTTTGTAGAATGGATTTGATTCTATGGAGAATGTTCTACAGCCAAAGAGAAAACATTTGATTTTGGCTCTTTTATCCCAGGCTTAAAGTGGTCTCTGAGAAACACTGATCAGAGTGGAATTTCATTCATTACCGATCAGACAGCTCATTTAAATGTATGTCTAATGTCCCTTGTCATGGGCTGATCCACTTCAGGCATGCTTCAAAGCTCTCTCTCCTTGGCTGGATCTGCAGGCTTTCCCTAAGTCCTGCTTTTTATGGTTGATCCTTTGATCAGAGCACGTCAGAATTCTCAACCATGTTTCAAAGCAGGAAGGAAAACCCACATTTTCTATTATGACATCACGGGGTTTGGTTGTAAAAAGCCAGCAGCCCTGCAAGGTTACAGCTGTGCAGTCTCAGTGACCTGTGGGAACCAGAGGGTAGAGCTCTCTGGGTCTGTAGTGCCCTACGCCATTCCCTGTCCCAAAATAGTCAGATCTGCATACAAGCAAGCCAATGGAGTTACTCCTACAGCCAGTGAGCAGGCTCAGCACCCCATTGCAATGAATGTCAGTCCCCCTGAAGCTAATCTGGGATCAAGTCAGCAGAGCTCCTAGTTATGCTTAGAACCAGGGAGGCTGGAAACTCTGTACTGAAGCAGTGATTTCAACTCTCTGATATCAGATCTGATCCTCAGAAACCAAGTGGCTGCATCCCATCAGTGAGTAATGGGGAGATCAGCCCGAAGGGTAAGATGACCTTCAGGTATTTTGGGGTCTGATGTGGCACAGGTTGTCTCCAGTAATTATCTGTCATCAGAAGCTAGAGTTATCTGGAAAAGGTAGGTGGTGGGTAAAACTGTAGCATTTGATTAATCAGGAATAGCTATAAACCACTTTATTCTGGGGTGCCCATCATCTCTCTACACATTATTGGTCAAGTCAGCCCCTTTGTTTAGACATGGGTTTGATTCTTGTGGGTCTTGTTCTTGTATTTTTATGCTTGCAACAGGAAGGCAAGAGAGCTACTCTTCTTAGAAGGATTTTTGATAATCTTGATCCTGACCCAGAATGGTGAAGCCTTCATCGTTAAGGACAATGGAGCCATCCATGTGCTAACTGACCCAGTCCTGCCTGCTGGTCTGGCTTCAGTTACATGGGACACAAAGGCACTTTCCTAAGAGTCAGATGGTTGCAAAGCAGGGACACTCAGACTCCCCTCATTCGACATAAATCCCATTCTCTAGCAAAGCTTGTGAGGTATATTAATGTCCCAGCTAAGCCAGTCTGCAGGAAATGTTGCAGCTTCCTCCAGCATCAGTGGAGAAGACCTGTGTGGCAGCCACTGCTAAACCTAGTGCTTCCACAGGGTCTAGCCAGGGTCTGGCAACTTCAATAATAACAGCAGAGCTTAATACTCAAGTACTGTCATCATCCATGCAACTGAAATTATTTAATTCCTTAGTCCTCATGCGCAGGTGGGGAGGATGATGGAGACAGCTGGGAAATGAGATAACTGCTGGGCTACTGAGGGGCCTGAGCTGCTCCTTCTCTTATGAGCACAGAGACCATTAGCAGTGCAGTGTCCTACAGCCCAGAGCCATCCCCAGACATCAGCCCTGTGCCTGCAGGTGGGCAGCAGGACACAGGCACTGCCTGCCTGCATGCTCTGCACACACTGGGAGCTCCTCTGCCCTTTCTGTCAAGCGTGCTGAGCTCCCCCTTGAAAGGAGGCAATGACATTCAATGAGGTTACCTGCTCTGCAGATGAGCAAAACTTTGCCTTGGGTAACAAACCACTTACGGGTATAGACAGACCTCTTTTTTGTTCAGTTGCTGCCTCTGGCCTCTGCATGAGTGTCTGCTCTGCTGCTGTGTGTGTGGGGAGAGACACGGGCTGTGCACACACACGGCGCTGGTGCAGCAGCCGTCAGTGACACGTCAGCTGCAGTTACACCCCCTCCAAACACACGCCTGAGCCTGGTGAATCATGCCTATGCAGCATGCAAAATTAGCTCAGTGAGAGATAAACCTTGGGCATTTGTTGGTAAACAGATACTCTTTTGCTGTAAGAGCATAACTCAGTGTGCTCCATTTATGATCCGTTTATCAATGGCTGAGATAAAACCGTAATCCCTTTAATTCAGGGGAAAAAGGGATCCACCAGTGCTCTGCCTGTCGGTAATTAAAAGACAGGATTTGTCATTGAGAAAGCACTGGCTGCAGAGCTGAGCTTAACCAGCTAACTGGGGGAGAATGCTGGGGAAGGTTTATGGTTCTTTCTGAAGTTTTGTGTTTTATGTCTATTTCTTTCCCCCTTCCCTCCAGGTCTAATAATACACGAAGGGCCCTCGGTTTACCGGATTTTTAAACGGTGGCAGGCGGTCAATCAGCAGTGGAAAGTGCTGAACTATGACAAAACAAAGGACATGGAGGAGCAAAAAACAGGGACCAGGACAAATCAGCGCCCCTCCTCCCAAACCACCCACTCGTCCTCCACTGGTGGTACAGCCACTAACTCCGCTCCAGCCGACAGCGGGGCACGGGCTGCCGGCCATGCCACAGGCACCCTCTCTGACCACCACTGTGCTTATACCATCCTGCATATACTCAGCCACCTGAGGCCTCACGAACAGAGGAGTCAGTCTAGTAGTAACAGAGAGCTCGTCATGAGGGTCACGACGGTCTGAGCAGAGGAATTCAGGAGGCCTTAACACGAAGCGGAGGAGACAAAGAACTCATAAAGCAGAGGAGCATGGTGTGCCTTTTTCTTTCTCTTTCCTTTTCTTTTTTCTTTTTTTTTTTCCTCTTCTTTTCTTTTTTCAGTAACTGCACAAGATATAAGAGGCGGCACCTGGCCAGCTAAGGAAAAAAGCAGGTGGAGGGAGAGCTGCACACTCATGCTAAAGAGGTTAATGTTTTCCAGCCTGTTTAAAAAAAAAAAAAAAAAGAAAAAAAAAAAGAAAAAAAATAACAACACAAACCACAAAAAAACCAACAAAACAAGTGCAATACAGACTACAAACTGAGTAGGCAGAGTTCTGGGGAAGCAGAGGAACAGACGGTTTAGCATGTCTTACAAATCCTATTACCTGGAATAGGTAACACTCTGTGCACAGCCCCCGTACACACACACACGCGCACACAAACACACACGTAGTGTGAGACTTATAAAAACATGGAAGGGAACTAAGTATTTGGAGTGTTTTTATTTTCCAGACTCCAATTAACCAGGGCTATGAGTTGTTTTGTTTCATGAGTCACTGGAGCCTTGTTTGATGTACCGTGGGGTACCTGAAGTGAAATGGCTGGGGATTTTTCAGTATTGATTTACAGAAGACAGATTAAATCATCTCACTAAGAAAATCTTAACAAAATCCAGGCATACCCAAATTTCACCAAGAAGCCTGTTTTTTTCATAATGTTCCTGACAAGGGGTTTGTGAGGGTAGAACTGGGAGGGGGGAGGGTCCTCCATAACCTTTATTTGACGTATAGGCATTTTTGGCAAATTTTGTACAAACGTTCCGCAGGTGTTTCAAGCACAAGTACTGGTGTGATTCATGCCTCCATAACCCCAAATCCAGCATCCAGACCTTGCCACCCACACACATCATTTTCCATGCAGACATTCCAGGTTAATTTCCTTCCATTTTACTCTAATCACAAGAAGCTGACCCATCTTTGGTGGGTTTCTGCTCCCTTGCTGATTCAGACACTCATGCATTAGAGATGTACTTTTTTATTTTGGTGTCTGTATCTCTGCTGCTCAATTTGCAACAGTCTCACTCAGTCTTGTAGGCTGATCCTTTCACATCCAGTCTGTTAGTTTATTACAGAGTCTATTCCATTCAATCATCCAAAAGAGAGTTAGTCTGAAGAGGGAGCACAGTTGCTGACTGACTGTGTAGCACTTCTAATAAGTCTCCTTCTCTGGGATATATCCTCGAAGGTATCGGTTGCTCTTCAGGAACATTCTCTTTCAATGCACAATGGCTGAATCATTTGTGGATATTAAAGGGACACTGTCAAGTACTTTTTAAATAGTTTTTAGGGTTTGGGCTTTTTTTACTCTCCATTGTTTGTAATATTCTCTTACAAGCTTGAAAATAAAATTTCTTTCCCTATCGATTTTGTCCTTTTCCATTTGGGCATGTATGGTTCTCTCCACTCACCCCATTCCTTTCACCATCCCTGTCCTTCTCCTCCCCACCTTTCTTCTGCAACAGGAGGAAATCTAGATTTCTGATTTCCTGCTGACTGTCCTCATTCTATGGAGGGTATGTCCCAACTCTATAGGGTTGAGTTATTTTGCAGCTGCCACAGAGGAAGCATAAGAGCAGGAACCCTGGAAATACGGAGATTAGCTGGGATTTTGAGGAGCAAAAGCTCAGCTATCACAAAGCAATGACCCCATAGTGTTCAAGCCTGAACCCAGCTCCCTCCAAAATCAAGATAATGTCTTCAGCCAAACTGCATCCATTTAGCAGCAGTGCCAAGCAACGTTGCACGATGGCTGAATGCAGCTGCCCCCCATCATCATAGCAGCACCTCTCGCACCTTCTGTGGAGACAGGGCAAACGTGGGCTACTGGCTCCTTTGGCAGCCAGGCTGCCACAGGTCAGGTGTTTCTGGACTGGAGAAGGTGCCTCTCTGTTTGAACATGGCAGCCATCCTGCAGCATTGAAGATGAAGGTTAGCAGCTTGAGGCAAGGTTGTATTTTTCACCTCAATTACTTGACAGTGTCCCTTTATATATCAGAATGCAACAGAACAGGTAGTTACTTCTCTGGCAGAGAATGTGGGAGGTGGAACACCATCTGAGAAAGCTTACTGAGGACCAGTGTGAAACAGCATGGTTTCTGAGGCCACTTTTACCTTTGTCTGACCAGATTTACTATCTACCAAAGAGTGCTTTTGGCAAAGGGGAGAAGAGAGATGGTGGTGGGCAGAGGGAGAGGGAAGGGGCAGTTCCAATCATCTCTGAAAGTAGCTATCCCCCAGAAGGAAGGTGTTGCAATGAATGATCTCTGGAAGAACTGCTTCAGTAGAGAGAAACCTGGCCAAAGCAAGCAAACACAGCAGCCTCTCGCCCCTATGCCTGTTCTGGAAGCTGTCCTCATTCCAAGAGATGAGTAATTATAGTGTTTTTGGGAAGGGGGAAGCCTACACAGATGAAGGGACAGCTGTCACCCATGATGTCGTTTCCCTCCCTGCCCTCCACTCATTTAATATGGAGAAGTCAAATTCCTTTTATTTGGCTAACAGATAAAATGTTATGAGGTCAGAAGCACAACTTGCTGTGAAAGAGTGGTGTACTCTGAGCACACAGGACTCTGCATACTCTCACTCCAGCTCTGCCACTGACTCTGTAGCCTTGGGCTGTTTGGCTCAGTCCCCCCTCCACACAAAGGGGGAATAAAAATACGTACCTACCTCACAGGGGTGTTGTGAGAATCCACGTTGGTAAAGCCTGTTGAAGTGCTAAGTCTACCACCGGTAGTCACGAGGTGTGTGGTGGGGGTGAGCAGCGCTGCCCTTTTGCTGGTTACAGTCTGAATCACAGCGGGAGTCCCATCGGCCTTCTCCTCCTTGGAGACCCTCCTTGATCGGAAGCGGAGGCTGTCGTCCGAGTGCCCTCTCCTCCATTGCATGACATTTTAAGCGGCTGTGAGGTGCAGGATAGTGACAGACATGAAGTCCTACTTGACCAGGGATTTGCTACAACGTTTTCTATATCTGTGGGGTTTGTTGGTTTGTTTTTTCCATATATTGTGCTTAGAAATAAACTTTCCACTTAGGGCTGGCGGTTTGGGGTCTATTCTGTTGCATGGCAATGTATACAAGTCTTATTGTCTGTCTTACTGTGCAAATGATCCCGCAGCCCAGTTTCAGAGATGGGCACAGTCTGAGCCTTTTCACAGCGGCATAAGACTCAAAAGCCTGTCTAGACTGTTTAATATTTAAACAACACTATGAACTTGTCAATTGTATGTGTTCTGTGCAATACGAAGCATGTCATTAGCTGGCTTGATGGGCAGAGGGGCTAAAGGAAGGTCAAAACTTGTTCAAAGAACTTCATACATGTGCCAGCATGGGAGCCAAAGGGCTGCCACCAGCAAAGCAAACTCGGGGGAAGCCACTGGAAACTATTTTCAGAACAGTTCACTCCAGAACAAGGTACTTCTGAGTTTACGAACTTCTAGGCTGCCAGCCTGAGAGAACAAGTGCAAATTTAGTGTGGGGGTTGGGGTTTTGAATTCCCTTTTCCTTTCCTCCTCAAAGTTTTGATGGCAGAAATACTGAGGATCTCTTCCTTCCATAGCACAGTTCTCTCATCTCCCACAATCTCCTTGTGCCGTCCCCTTTGTGCTACTATGCAGGACTTTCAAAGGTGCAAATGGAGACAGTACGCTCCCGAGACATGAAAAATAAGTTGAGTATTGGGTGATTCTAGCAGATAGACGAGATGGGGCACAGCTATGCTACAGAGGCATCTCTTCTTCCCCATGTCTTTCTTCTAGTCTTGTCTGCTGGGTCCCTGAAGAGACGTTCCCTGTACTTTGTTACAAAGCTGTCAGATCACCTTCCACTGACAAACAAAGCTTGCAGAGTATGGCAGCTGTTTCTCCCAATGGAGAAAATTCTGGGTCCTATCACTGTGGAGACCCCTCAGTTCTTGGGCTTTGTGGTCCTCCAGCATTGTTTGGGGGTGGTCAGTGTGGAGGACTGTGTTCAGCCATCACCAGAAGTCGTGTGTGTATGGTCCTGCTCGATCTTGTGATTTCTGCCAGTCCCCTGATTTTCTGTCAGCTTTGACAGGTCTTTCTGGTAATGCTTTTCTGGTTATGCTCTTCAGAGGTGTTTTGCTCTGTGTCAGTTGCCAATGCTGTTCTTGCCTACTAAAACATCAGTGCTGGCCTCCAGCTTCCACAGCTCTTCCATTCTTGCTATCCTGTCTCTTGGTAAATACTCACTGCCAAGTTCAAACCCTCTTCCTCTGTGCCTGCAAGGGGTCAGGCACATGCACTAACCTAAGGGTCACCAGAGAACACAGGGAATGTTAAGAGTCTGTATCAATGTTTCAAACTCTATAACCATCAGTCTTTGATATACATTTATTTTGTCAGTCTCAGTGCCTGCTGTTAATTGGTTGCTACAAAAAAATGACAAATGCTGGCAAAACCCATATACCCAGCTAACACTTGATTTCCAATTTAAAATGTAAAAAGCTATGGGCTGTTTTTCAAACAAATCTGGTGTGTTCCCTGTTGTGGTTTCCCAAGCAAGGTGGTGAAGAGGTTCATGTTTTACCCTCCCATGATTGGATGGGCAACCCAAGGAAAGAGAAAGCAGCTTAGATTTAAGAAGTGTTGGCTGTCCTGTTTTCACTCAGGGAGACAGGAAAATACTATTCATGCCTGCTAGATCCATGGCCCTTCTCAAAGCCCTTGATATGGCATGAGTAAAACTAGAGCCAATGGCTGTAGCTGGAGGACCATTCTGAAGACTTTCCAGTTCTGAAGACCATCCCCTGTCCACTTGTAGTGGTCAGTCATTCTTTGTTTTCCTTGAGAGAAAAAGATTATTTTGACTAAGCAAAGCACTAATGCTCTTCAGTGTAGGATGAGGATGCACCATTAGCACTTCCAGCCTGTGGTACATCCACCAGGATTCCTGTCCATCTTCTT